TTATTATTATTATCATTATTATTACTTTGCATATTATTATTTATGTGATAACGTTTGTGTTAACACATATACTATCTATTCTTTTGTTTTGTTTTTTTTTTTTTCGGGAAAATTTCGATTCGTGGGAAATGTGTTGGGAAAAATTTTCTTCTTCTGCCTTTAATAAAATAAATAAACTTACTTCTAACGTTGAGAAAATATCCGATGGATGAAAATTCACCGAGAATGTGATGGCTCGTACATTTATACCATCCGCTGTGTTCTTTTTTTATGGACGTAAAATTTAAATAACCGTCGACGGATTGCGAAACCGAAGGGATGCTGTCATCTGTAACAAATTTAAATAAAAAAAACTGAGATGACGTAATAAGAATTTGCATATCGCGATAATCATCATAATCATCATTATTAAATACGATCGATTTGTTTCGTCACGAGGAAAAAAATAAAAAAAAAAAAAATTTTCACCTTTTTCGAAGAATTAATAAATAATAATAATGATAATAATAAATCATTACGAAACCTTTTTTTAAATAATGAATTCCGAAAAAGGCTTTTCGAAGGGGACGATGTGCGGGGAGCGGGATGAGGGTAAAAAAGGAAAATTCACGAAGGAAATTTTTTTTTTTTTTTTAATTTTATGAAGTATACGAAAAAACGATGATGATGATAATAATAATAATAATTTTATTTAAACATTTTACTCGGGATTTTAAATTAAAACAACTTGTTCAAAAATTTTTTATTTATAAAAATTTATTCCGCATGCTTTCCCCCTCTCTTCCTCCCTTCTCCTCCTGCCCCTACCACTCATCCACTCCCGCGCGATTTCTGCGTTTTCTCTCTTTTAATTTTTCCACCCCACTGGAAAAGTAAAATTTTGTTGTGCAGAAATTAATATAACCCTAAAATTTTGTCCCGAAATAAATTACTTTTCAGCAACACGCTTTTCCTCCCGCGAAAAAAAAAAGGATTTGAATTTTTTTTTTTTTCATCCCCTCCTTCCTTTTTTTATTAACTTCTCCTTCTCCCCTTCCCTCCTCCCCGTTAACTCATCCTCCGATCAACAACTTAATAAGTTTAAAACAAAAAAAAAAAAATTTTTTTTACTAATCTTAATATATATATGACCGTTGAATTTAAATCATTTCATAGTCGTCGGCCATGAAAGAAAAAAGAAAAAAGAAAATGGCGTCCAACTTTCACATCTGATTTATTTTTCATTGGATAAATTTTTCCTTGATTTATCTACTGCATCTTTTTAAAGAAAATTTGTTCATCTTTTTTTCTTCTTTCTTACTTTATTTGCTTTTTTTTTTTTTTCATCTCTGACTTTTTCATCTCGTCTTTTCTTCTTGTTTAATTTTATTATTATTATTTTTTTTTTTTAACGTTTATGGTTAATAATTTTGTTAAATTTAAACTTGATTTAATAACTATTTTTCTTTCTTCCTCTTTCTCTCCCACCCCCCTTTCCTTCCACTCTCTTCCCATCCCTTTTCCTTTCATTCTCCGTCTTTTTTCTTCTTCTTGTTCTTTTTACTTTCCTGTATTAATTCAGTTTTAATAATAAAAAAAAAAAAAAAAACGAATTTATTTTTTTTATTTTTTTTAATTTACTTTACTTTTATGTAATTTTCTCTCCCATAATCATTTCACTTTTTTTTTTTTTTTTTTTTAAATTACCCTTTTTTCAACTCTTTAATTTTTTTTTTTTTTTTTTTTTTGGCTGCTTTTACTTACATAAAAGATTTTTTTTTTTTTTTTTGTATTTTTATTCCATCTCTTTCCCCCATCTCCATCTCCATCTCTCTCTCTTTTTTTTCATTCACTTTAATTTTTTTTATATTAAACTTTTTTTTTTTGTTACTGAGTAATAATAATACTATAATAATAAAGATAATAAAATTTTATTTTAAATTTATTTTAAAAGCAGACAATTTGTCACACAAAAAAAAAAAAACGAAAAACGAATAAAAGAAAGGACAGGAGCGTCAAGCATTTATGGCACGATTGTATTTTAACAAAAAAAAAGGGAAAATTAATGTTGCCCCCCACTCTCACTCCCTTCTTCCCTCCCTCCCTCCCTTTTGCCCCCCCCCCGTATGAAAAATTAAAAGCTTTTATTATTTATCATCGTTTTTTCCTTCCATCCCCACTTTTCTCATACGTTTTTCTCTCTCATACGATTTTTAAAATTTTTTTTTTTTTTCCCCGTTTTAAATTTATTAAGGACGGGTTTTTTAAATAAAAAAAAAAAAACGCGGGAAAATATTTAAAGGAAAAAAACGCGCGAAAATATATAAAAGGAAAAAACGCGGGATTCGATTATTATTATTATTATTATTAAGAAACACAAAAACCGAAATAAGAAATTTAAATTTTTGAAAAAAAAAAAAACAAAAAAAAAGTTTTATTGTTCCATTTGTTGTTTGTTTGTTTGTATGTGCGTATATGTATAAGCTTGAATATTCAAATATTTAAAATAATAATAATAATAATAGAAGAAAGAAAAAGAAAAAGAGAGAGAGAGAAAAACATTGAAACAAACAGAAAGTTTTAAAAAACTTTCATTTTGTTAAACAAAGGAAAAAGGTTTAAGATATTTAAATTAAACGAAAATTATACAGGTACACGTGTGTAATGCGACGAATGATAATGATAATAAAGGAAAATTTGTGGGTGAGGGGGGGTTTTTTATAAAAATTGATCGAGAGACTTACCCTTAAGCCAAATCGGACTGGACGGAGGATTTGAATCGACTTCACATTTTAAAGACACAGACATGCCTTCCCTTAGTGGAAAACCAAAACCAGGTTCTCGACTTATAGCAAATGAAGGAGCATCTGAAAAAAATTATTATTACTATTTTTCATACCTTGAATTTCATTCTCTCTTTCTTCCTTCAACCCCCGCTTTTCAACCCCGTTGAAAAAATTTTTTTTTACGCCGTATAAAGTTAATATATATGTATATATTATTGTTTGTTTGTTTCATCCCCCTTTTTTTAATTTTTTTCTTTGTTTGTTTGTTTGTTTTATTCTTAATCTTAAATGAAACATTTTATTCTGATTATTTATGTCTTATTACATTGTACGATAAGTTTTTTTTTTTTTTTGTTTTTCCCCCTTCCTTTTTCTCTTTCCCCCTTTCCCTCACTCTCTCCCCCCCTCTCTCTCTCTCTGTCGCGTACGTATATATATTATTATGTTTTTGTTTTTCTGTTGTTGTTTCCTCATGTTTTTTTTTAGATAAAATATAAATTTTTTGTTTCTTTCTTTTTTTTATATGTTTTCTATTGTTTTAAAATCTTCCGTTTTATAAATTATTATTATTATTATTATTATTATTATTATTATTTTATTAATCAACAATTTATTTATTTATTTATTTATCTTTTTTACTTTATTTTTACACGGGAATGAGAAAAAAAATAAAAGAAAAAGAGAGAGAAAGAGAGAGAGAGAGAGAGAGTTTTTTTTTGTTAAATAAGTTTTTAAAATAATAATAATAATAATAATAATAATAATAATAGAAGTAAAAAATTTTAAATCAATATTTTTTTACACACGCACAATAAAAAAATTTAAACAAATTGAATTTTTTTTTTTTTTTAAATCCTTTTTAAAAATTGAAAGCTTCAAAACCAAGCAAATTATTTGAGTAAATATAAAAAAAAAGGAAAAAAAGGAAAAAAAGGAAAAAAAAGGAGAAAAGAAAAGAAAAAGCTTTAAAGGTTTTTCTTTCTTTCTTTCTTTTTTTTCTTTTTTTCTTTCTTTCTTAGGAAGCATCGAACAATTTGAGTCTTTTCGCCACAAGATAGGATGAGGGGAGGGGGTTGTGTGGGGGGGTTGAGAATGTTTTCATCGTTTCCATCGATTCCATTCAGACAACATTGACTTCATTTAAACACTTGAATACATGCAAAAGGAGGCCATCTTTTTTTTCCCCTCTCTCTCTCTCCCTTTCTCTCTTTCTCTTTCAACAATCTGCTACCTTTTTATTCCGAAAGCTTTTCTTTTCATTCAAAAACTTGTTTTGCCTTTTTCATTTTTTTTTTTTTTTATAGTGGTTGATTCTTCATCCCTCCCTCCCCCATTCGCGCGTGTGTGTGCGTGTCATCATTTATAACTTTTAATATTTATTTTCTCACACGAAATCAACGCAAGGGTTGTTTGTGTTTTTTTTTTTTTTTTCTTTAAAACTCATTTTCGGTAGATAAAAAAAAAAAAAAAAAAAAAAAAGAGAAAAATGAGATGAGTCAAACTTACATTGAACGTCAAGCAAAATAGAAGCATTAAGGGATGATTTTAGGGTCGGTTGATTGACGATACAAATGACAGTAGCATTGTGATAAATTCTTTTGACATTGGCTATTCTCGCTTCGCTTCGTGTGAGCTCTTGTGAGAAAACGCGATTGGTCACAGCATCGCTTCCACGACTTTCTGTCACATTCAAAGCAAATTCGGTCGTGTCTTCTTCATCCAATAAAGCTAAATCTAAATTTCCGGATAAAATCACGACCCATTTTATGTTAGGTTTTGGATTTCCTCCTTCCACGACGCATGTTAGCACAAGTTCAAATCCTTCTTTGACCGGTAGAAAATTGTTTCCAGGATCAAGACGACGGCCGTCAATGAGAAGATAAGGTGGTTTTGGTTTATCTAAAAAAAAAAAAAAATAAACGCAAAATTTATTTTTTCTTTTCTTTTCCTTATCAGATTGATGATAATTATTCGATTTAATTAATCTTAGGAAGTTGTACGAATGAGATTATGGTTAAGAAAAACAAATGAAATTTGTTATATATTTCGAAAATCGAATGAGAAACAACATAATTGGTTTTTCTTTGTGGTTACAAAACAAACTTTAATGACTATATTTACACACACGTCACATCCACGAAAATTTTTTGTTTGTTACTACAAAATATTCTTTTCTTTTATTTTCTTTTTATCAATAATAGAAATTTTGTTTTCGGCAGGAGGTAGTAATCAAAAAAAAAAAAAAAAAAATGTCATTTACACGTGGTTTAAGTCTTATACCATATCTCACTAAAAAATATTTTTTAAAAGAAGAAGAAAATAATGGATGAAGCAAGAGAGCAACTTGGCAAGATTATTTGATTCCGAATTTTTTTTTTTTTTTTTCTAAGCGAATATATAATTTTTATGCAGGGAAGGAAATCAAAATGTCAGCGGCAGAAGCTTCTTCATAAGATATAGGGAATGAGAATAAAAATAAAATTTTTTTAAAAAAACTTTTTCCTAAAGAACTTATTTGGTTATAGTTAAAAATTGTTTTTTTTTTTTTTTTTAAATGGCGCTTATTAGTGGGTTATTTAAAAACCAAATCCAAAAAGAAGAAGAAGAAAAGATAGATACTGTGTCTTCTCTTTTTTTTCTTGGCCAAGAACCAGAAGACTCTGACATGTTGATTCAACCGCGATGAATTTTTTTCTTTTTTTATTTCTTATTTCTTATCATTTTATTATTTTATTTTATTTTTTTATCATTTTCTTTCTTCGTTTTTTCGGTTTTCTTTTTTTTAAGGTTTTCCGACGCCATTTTATATCGTTTTCTATTTTTAAATTAAATATATAAAAACGTTTTAAAACTACTTTTTAAAAAAAAAAAAAAAAATTCGAATTCGAATACAAAAATTTTATTTCAATAAAATAATAATAATAATAATAATAATAATAATAATAATGATGATAATAATAATAATGGAAAACAAATGTTTTTATTCATTGCAATATTTAAAAAATGGCGTAAACAATAGTCACGCAGGATATTACGTATACGATGAAATATATATATATATAGAAAACAAAAAGAAGAAATAATTCGATGTAAAATGATGCGTGGGAGGGGAGGGGATTGAAGGGATGAATAGGGGGTTACTTCCGGTCGTTGTTGACAAACTCCACAATTCGAGGATTTTATAAACAAGTCGTGTCGCGGACACGCTGTCGTAATTTTTAGAAATGATGGATTGCCACCATCGCTGATACTACCACAGTCACCACAACGACCGGGGGGAAAAATTTGGCAAAATCTTTTCCATTGAATTATTATCATCATCATTATTATTATTATTTCCTTAAAGAAAATTTTCCTTTTTTTTTCGAAGCTTTCCAGAGGTTTGTTTTTGTCTCATAATTTTTTTATTTTTTTATATTCAGTTAATTACTTAAAATATTTTTTTTTTATTCATTTCATTAAATTATTTTTTTTTTTTTTAATTATCTGAGAAGCCATGTTGTTTTTTTTTAATTACCTAATTTTCTTTTTTTTTTACATTTTTTTTCTTTCACGATAAAAAAAATTTTTTTTTTTGTATCGTAAAAGAAAAAAAGGAAAATTTTTTTTAATTTTAAAACCTTTTTTAGGGCTTTGACAAATTAATAAATACATATTTTTATTAAAATAACTAACGAGTTAAATTATGTATAAAAAAAAAATAAATAAACATTCATTTGCATACTAAATAATAAATCGTTTTATTATTATTATTATTATTATTATTCGCCGAGGTTTTTCCTACGCGTTTTATAATTTTTTTTTTTTTTTTTAACGTTATCCGATCGGTTTTTCTTTTTTTTTTACATTTCCGTTCGAAAAACGGAAACAAACGTGAAAATATAGTAAGTAAATATAAAAAGAGGATTAAAAAAAAAAGAACGTGTTTGATAAAAGATAAAATAAAAAAAAAATGTATTAAGAGAAAATCGGGAAGAAGTGATTAAAGAATTTTCTTTTTTTTTTTCCTTTTTTTTCAATGGCTCAAAATAAAAAGAAAAGTGAAAAATGTTTGAAATGATTGCTTTTGAATGTGATAAAAAAAAAAAAAAGAAAAAAGAAAACTTTTCAACGTGTAAATGCTTTTGATTGTCGGTAATTTTTCAAAAATGCACACAATACAATAAAAAACTTTCTCTCTGCCCCTCCCTCCTTGCCTCCCCCCCCAAAAAAAATATTTTTTTGTCAAACTATGATGAATGAAATACGTTGAAAACAGATTTTACAATTTTTTTTTTTAATAGTATTTATATTTAAAAAGGAAAAAAGAAGAGGGGGAGGAAAATCGCCGGAAGTGAGAAAAGAAATCGAAATAAAATTTTCCCTTTTTTTTTTTCGAATATTAAAAATTTTTTTTTAAAAAAATGGGGGGAAGGAAAATTTTATTTTTTCTTATTTTCGTTTAACCGAAAAAAAAAAAATTTTTTTAAATACTTTTCTTTTTAAACAAAAAAAAAAAAAGAAAATTTTTTTTTTGTATTCATTCCACTTTACAAGTTTTTGTGGAATTAAGGATTTTAATAGTATTATAATAAATACTTTACTAAGCCACAGAGAAGCAATTACGTAAAATCAATAAATAAATAAATTTAATTATGTAAAACCATGATGATGATGATGATGATGATAATAATACAAACAAAATCCATCGTACGAAAATTAAATAAATGAAAGAAAACTGTTTTCCCCCCCACCCGGAAATAAACATAATCGATGAGTTACACGAAAATTTACAAATTTTTTTTTTTGTAAGGGGGTAGGGAAGGAGATGAGAGGGGAGGGAAGGGTAGAGAGAAGGGGAAGGTATCATTCGTTATAAAAATAATAAATTAAAAACAAAAAAAATATTTCGTGACCGAAATTTTCTTTTTTCTTTTTTTTAAAAAAAGAAAAACTTTAAATTTAATGGTGGTTTTCAAATGAAATCGTGAAGCGCCATTTTAAAAGTGTTAAAAAAAAAAAATTAAGTTGGTAGAACTGATTTAGATAAAAATCACAATTGCATGAGCTCCTGCTTTTCACTTTTGAAATATTTATTATTATTTTTTTTTTCTTTTCTTTTTTTTTTTTTTTATCTTTTAAAACAGGTTTTTTCTCTCGGGCAAACTGACAACGAACTTTCACGAACAAATTTTCCTTTTTTTTTTTTTTTTTTTTTTAAACGTGATTATACCGCAGATTACCATTTTTATTCTTTAAAAAAAAAACAAAACCGTTAATTGCAAAAAAAAAAAAGCGGAAGGAAAAGAAAAAAAGGAAAATTCGTACCTAAAACGACGAGTTTTAATGGTTTTGAATAAATCGGTCTTTCGAGCATTATACCCTCGTATTGACAATTCCAAAATCCATCATCTTCTAATCTTATGCTAGATATAAATAATTGACCGTTTGTAGAGTCCCGGAAGTATCGATGACCGTTTCCCATGGCACCCATTTCCGCCGTGTCGACAATTAAACCATTGTGAAGCCACGTAACGGCTGAAACAAAACAAAACGAAAAAAAAAAATTCATTTAAAAAAAAAAAAAACTCTTCCCGGAAAGAATAGAATAATAATAAAACGTTCGTGATAATCGCAAGTTTATTTCCGGTCGAGGAATTTTAATTTTCCAGTAAGTATTTTAATCCGAACAGGAGAAAACGTTTGAAAAAAAAAAATTCAAATCGTGGCTACTACAAACATGCGTGTGAAAAAAAAAAAAAAAAAGAAAATTTATGTATATGGCGAAATAAAAGGTTTCATAAAAGAAAAAGGAAACAGGTCGGAAAAGGCGCGAAGAGGAATAAAAAAAAATAAAGGGGATAGATCGCGAATGGTAGGGAGAGGGAAGAGGGCAGATTTCTCCAAGAGGATTACCGTTTTTTTTTTTTTTTAGTTGTTTCCTTTCATTAAAAATGGTTTAATGTTATTACTAATTAATCCTTTTTAATACCTTTTTCTTCCTTAATTTAGTTAAAGGTATAAAAGCAAGACTAAAACGAGTGATGGTCCGTTAAAATCCTACTTTCTAGAAATTTCCATAACCCTTTTTAATTCTTTTTTTTTTTTTTACGGTGTAACCTCCGCACTTAAAAAAAAAAAAGAAAACTTTAAAAAATTTTCCCAGTCATTAAATGCGTTTTTTTTTTTTTGTGTGTTGTAGTTTGTTATTAATTTTTTTAGGTGTGTCGAATCACATTCGTCTTTTAATCGTAACCCCCTTTTTTTTTTTTAAAAAAACATAATAACGTTATAGAAAACTTACCGAAACCAATGTTTTCTAATGTTGCTCGAGGCAAATAACAATTTAAATAAATTTCTTCTTTGGGTTTCACAACAAAATCCGGAGTTTTCGAACCTCTCCCTTCTATCTCGTTTATAATTCCCGATTCGTCTCCAGATTTTCCATGTTGATGATGACGTAATAAGTGAGACGATGACGATGACGATGACGATGATGATGATGATGATGATGAGGAAGATGAAGAAGAATGATCGTTAGTTCCCCCTGCGACAAAATAAATAAAAAAAAAAAAAATTTAATACCGAGCCGTTAAAAATTATAATTTTTTTTTATCATTATAATTTCGATTTTGTTGCAAACAAACAAACAAACAAACGAACAAACAAGCAAACAAATTTTTTTTTTTCTTATGCGAATTAATTATTAATTAAAACTTTTTTTTTTTTCTTATAAACATTTTTAAAAATTTCGTCTTTTTTTTCATTTCATTTGATTCCATGGAAGAAAAAAAAGGAAAAATATTAAATAATAATAATAATGATGATGAAAATTCATTGTTAACGTAAAAGTTTATTTTTTTTAAAAAAAAAAAAAAAAAAAAACCATTTCAAGGGAAGGTTCAATTCGTTTTTCAATTCAAATACAATGTTTTTTAAAAAATTTATAGAAAATGAAATGAATTTTCTTATGCGTTTCAAATTACCCTTAAAAACTTTATTTTATTTAAATTTATTGAACCCAAAAAAAGAGATTAAAGTTATAAACTT